TATAGCAAATATAAGTTTGCTTCATCGGCAATCCCATCATAGAATGTGTTATGGAAAATGCTTGAAATTCCTTTCTTGAAATTCACACCTTCCCCGTAGTCCAAGGGCACTCGTGGCAATGTGGTGTAGTGTTTAACGTATTGAGATTACGCGCTGCACTGTTCTATCCCATAAGGAGAAAGAAAATTGACAGTTGAATCTACCCGCCACGGGATGAGAAGGCCTGAAAAGCTATTGTTTCCCACTGGGGATGTTGATAAGACCTCGAGGAAGTCGAAACTGCGGTCCACTTCAGCCTGAATGAGAACACCTTTTGGAAAAGCAGGGCTATTTGAAATCCAGTGGAAACGTCAGCTCTACTTATATCATTGTGGGAAAATTTCAGCTACAGGTCCCTTATCATCTTAAACAAAATAGTGGCCATAAAGAGACCATATTTGATCTTCAGTGGTGAATTGTATGATCGAACACGTGGCTTGGTTATGAGGTATAGTTTAGTCCTTATTTTACCTAGTAACTAAATGGCCTAATTGGAAGTTCTTGTGTTTCAAGAGGCACTTCTAGTTCCGAAGTTAGTAATTTGGTGTATGGACGATTACTTTGCTGTTTGGCAACATGTTAAGGAGATATTAAGTGAATTCCTTGAGCTAATAAATAGAATAAATTGCATTAAGAAATTTATGTTGGAGTTAAAAAATAAGACTAAATTGACATTTCTGGATGTTTTAGTGAGCAAAGAAGATAATAAGTTTGGTAGAAACTTATTTAGGACATTCACACACACGAGCCTCCCTATTAATTTCTTATATAATCATACCAATAGGGTTACCTTAGGTGTTATGAAATCAATGATAAAAAAGAGTTTACGTCTAGCAGATGTAAAGCACAGGGACAATGAAATTGGATGATTGAGGTATAAATTGGTACAAAACAATTCCCAATTAAGATTAATAATTTTTTACTTTTCAATACTCATTGACAGGATGGTAAGACTATTCTACTCGGTTCCTGATTTTATTGCCTGTCAGTTTGCGAAAAGTGTAGGTGACCTACTGAGAAGGTGGAACATCATGAACATTTATTCGTGCCTCCTTTTTCGAGAATTTTGGGAGCCCTTTTTAATATAAGGCGATGTCTATATTTGGAAGACTTACTGAGTCATCCAGAAGATAGGATGCGAATACAAAAGCACTCGTAAAGGTTTCTGGGTCCAGAAATCTGAGCTCACTGAACACGTGGCTAATAAAGTATATTTAATAGACTGGTCCAAAACACGGGGTTTTGCTGGTTACGTGGACTTTACATTAAAGTATATGATTAGGAAATCTATAGAAGTTTAAAAAACAGCAAACATCCTGAATAGGAGAAACGAGTTTAGGAAATAATGTAGGAGCTATTTCTGGCTTTTGGATAGGCTTAAGGAGAGAGAGAGAGAGAGAGCAAGAAGAGCCACTGAAGAAGAGAAGGAGGCTGGATTAGCCTCTAGTCTAGCTAGAAATATCCCACTTGCCATGATATGACGATTACATACACACAATAGACAATAGCACACGCCCAAACGTGATTCAATAGTAGAGGATCGTAGGCTAGTTTATTTATGAAGAGTAAGTGGGTTTCGATGAATCTCTTAATATAACAGTGTCGAGGAGAATTTCATTTCGTATGAAAGTGCATGCTGGAGAGCTCCGTAGGGCAGTCTCACCAAAAGATCACGGCTGATTCCAGTTTTAATGTAACCATTTTAATACGACGTTCAGATTGATGCAGTCCATGAGATATCCTTTCTCTCTTCGAGCGAAAGCAGGCTGAGTTTTCCTCCGCCATATCATGGAGATCATCAGAGCTGGAACTTATTCTTCTAAAAGTCTCAAGTTAAGCCTGCAGTAAAGATATAATCAGCCATAGTCCTATGATGAGATTGATCTACGTATCTCTACAGCATACACTTTCATATGAAATGAAAATCTCCTGAACATTACTGTATTTATGTAACGAAGCAACTGCCACCACATCATCCTCCTGTTCATGAATTTACTTCCGCAAGCATGTGAATAAGGTTCAAGGTACTCAACCAAATCATGTAAGTTCTCATTAAGAGCGCAAGGCTAAGTATAAGAGGTAACTATGGTCGCAGTCGGCCCCCTTTGCGCTTGAGTAATGTATGGATTCTTGCCCTGATGATGTTTTTTACGGTGGCACAGAAGGGAGCTTAGCACAGGTTCACTGGTGCCGAAGACGGCTTTACACAATCCAACACTCTTCACTCCGCGGCAAACCTTTCACGAATTCCTTCCAGCCAACTCTTCCTTTGTAATGCTAAGTCTTGTTACAATATACCACTAAGGCATTCTTCGAAACCTATTTTGCTTTATAGCTTCGGCGAATGAATATTAATTGGTATAGAATAATTTGATTATCTATTTTCACTCAAGTGCAAGTGCCCTAATTGATGTGAATGAATACTAACCGAAGAATTCTATATCTAGCTATCCATATCTATATATCTCAGTTTTTAGCTATGAACAGATACAGCCTGTAGGATAAAGCTGGATAGTCCTCTGAACTTGGTGTCAACAGTAAGATTTCACCATAAAAAGTTCTATCTCTGACGATGTAAATCATATGAGGGAAGAATCTTGGGAGGATGTCTTGTGGACTGCGTCAACCCGAAAGGCGTATTTAAGCGAAATGCCTACAGATAAACGGAAATCATTCGTCGTCTTCTGCTGAGATTAACTTATGACTCACCACTTTCATACGAAATGGTAGTCTCCAAAGCAATTATATCGCAAGAGACTCATCGAAACTAGTTGCTCCTTGTGTAAAATTGAGGTGGATATGAAGCAGCAGTGACAAGAGTCGTGTGTGTGGTAGAGGGTGTTCATAACTGGCAATCGAGTGGGGCTCTTCGTTTTAGGATCATTAGTGTATAGGCTGGGTCGCAGAACGTGACTGATAGTTATGTTTTCCTCTTCAAAAGATATTCGCATTCAACCTGGCCTGCAGTTTTGGCATCTTCAAAAGAAATCGAGTCTGATTAGTATTACCACTACACTACTTATAATCCGAGTGAGTAGGTTTTTGAATTACTAGTAGATCTTGAGGTCTTGATGATAATACCTTTTAGACTTTCTCCTCCCGTAGCGGGTAGATTCAACTGTCAGTTTTCTTTCTCCTTATGGAATCGAACGTGAACACAGCTCTTATGCAAGATCCAATGGTAGTTCTGAAACCTACTCATCCTAGATATAGGTCTTCTAGGTTGCTTAATATGATATGAATTTCATATGAATTGGCTTCAAAATGTTTTTCACCTCTCGATTGAACCGTCGTTTCGACCTCACCCAGGCCTCCTCAACTCCCTCAGATGGACTTAAAACTGGGTCCTGCTCATAAATTGACGATATTCAACCCTCCCAACAGACAGTCACGGGTGCCAGTGGGCCATTTGACTGATGTGACTTTCGGAAAAGGGCTTGGCTAGCCCAAATCACATTTATAGTGGGATTTTCTATAATAGTAATCTGCATTTGTTTTTAGAATCGACGGCAATACTTACGTTTTGGGTGAGTATGTTTTAGAAATTATTAGAGTTTTGCTGGGCCTAATTATATTCTTATGAGAAAAACTAGCTCTTAGCTCCCTGGGGTAACAATTTTTTATCGATGACTTTACACATGCTTCTCGATTCCGCCGGCTTAGAAGTCAAGGCAACATGTGGGCTCGCCAACCTTGAGGGCTTCCTGAGCAAGCCAGGCAACCCCGAACTCTGCTTTCTTGGAGCCCATGAAAACACAAACATTCCCAAAATACAGAAGACGCGGAGAAGTGGCGAGTGCGATCAGGTGGAAGAAGTGTCAGTCATGGCGACGAGAAACTCAGGCTCTAGAAAGTCCATGTTAATCTAGGTTGGGTTCAAAAGCAAACGATGGGTATAAACACTGTACACGCCCCTGTTCATGCAAGGTGATACTCTCCTCTGAAATAAGTGGATCTCATGATCGGTACCCGGTCTCATGATGCATTTCATAGTTTTTATTTGGCCGCTTGGAGTAAATTTCTTGTGACCCAAGAAGATCCGCAGAACTGCTGCTTCTGGTGGGTTCAGCTTGGGCTCCAAAACGCATTTATTGAACAGTTTCCCTCTTCAACTTTTACGTCACTCTGACACCGCATCAGTCACATGTCCTCTGCCGCTGGTGCCGAACGACGTCGGCATCCACATGCGCAGCTCTCGTGGCGGCACCATTCAACTCTCCGACGGACTCGGCCGAGCGCCTGACGACCGTCGTCAGGCGACCACGCCCCGTCTGCACCACGGTGACGCCATCGACTTGGTGTGTCTACGACCCGAGCACCGATTGTTGGACGTGGGGTCTACGGAGGGGAAGGATGCTGGTTCAGTCGGACTGACAGGGCCGGGCGGAGGTGACCAACGCGCTGGTATGGCCGCTATGGCTCTGGCAGACTCCGAGACGGCGGATGGTAGGCGCCTGCTGATCTGTCAGGACGGAGCCTGGGCGCCGCCATTGGCACCGCTTGACAGGCTGCGCTGCGTGCGTGTCCAAAACAGTCTTCTGCCTTACAATTGGATCTTCAGAGTGCCTAGATTCATCCCATTCTTGTGAAGGAGGGATCATAACTTTCACTGCGCAATCGAGATTACTTAATTTTATAACTTTTGATTATTTCCATATCCTCTAGCGGCATGCATTCGAAAAAAACGTTTATAACTACTGCTAGTAGTGCTGTTACTACCCCCCGGAATTTCGAATATACGCGGTATCTCTTGGTTTATAATGATTAATATTACTTTCGTTTTGTGTGAAATTGTTTGGTTAAAAGATTCGGATGTCGTTCCCACTAGAAGACGACGGCGGATTCCTCTTGACCAGCTGTCGATTGGTTGTACTGGAACATTCTTGTTGAAGCCGCTTCCGGGGCGATCTCCTGCGATTTCGATGAAAAATTGAAGACGTTTCGAGATATGAAGGGAAGCTGGGTTTCGAACAAACAAAAGTCCAAGGCGACTCTACTTCAGTGTCCGGTGAGGTCAATCTACGAATCCCTCCCACCTGCCTTCCCAAACGAAATGAAAGGTATGCCAATATCACTGTGCGTCATGTGACGGACTTGATCAGAGCTGCGCATCATCAACCCTATTCAAGATGATGAGAAAAGAAAACTCATCGGCTCATCCATAAATGGTGTATGCATAGTCTATATCTGAGCTATTTGATGAGGCATAACGGGATTTGATTAGTTCCAGTCATATGTCGACTTCGGAGCGCATAAGAATTCCTGTCTCTGCTTGTATATGTGTCTGCGTGTGTTCGCATATGTACTTACCAGCAGTGATGTCTTAGAGTAATTATAATAGAAGAAGTGACGTTTGTTCTCAGCCATCAAGCTTTGATGACCACTAACACTCCTGTCTCTGTATATATTTTAACCATCATTCCGATTGAAAGGGGATGCGATGGTGGTCATCAAACCTTGATGTCCGAGAACAGACGTTACTCTCTCTATTATAATTACTTTGAGCCATTATGGCTGGCTTCTAACATATAAGGACACATGCAGGCATACACAGACACACTCACATGCTTCCAGGTCGACATATGATTTGAAATAATCAAATCACTTTATACCTTATCAAAGAACTTAAATGAGGATATTTATACCGCATTTATGGATGAGCCGGTTAGTTTTATTGACTTGTTATCTTGAATATGGTTGTAAGGATGATCCCACTTGTTTTGATGAAGGTCCGTCATACGACGGACGAAAGGTTGGCACGTTTTTATCGGGATCCATACAGATTGCCTTGGAAACAGCGTCAACAAGAATGTTCCAGTTAAGCCAATTAACAGCTGGTCAAGAGGAATTTGTCGTCGTCTTCTGGTGGGATCGACCATCAAATCACTTCACTAAACACTTTACCGCGAAATGGAAGTGAATTTAGCAACTTCAAATATGGTCAAGTGACGGTATTTCAAAGAGCTATTGGAAGGACTGACGAATTGAACGGCTTCAGCGACTATCCGGCACCCTTGGAGTGCTTCGATCTCTATCTTCAACACACTGATTATGGCGCAATAATTTAGTCTGGAGGATAAAAGTCGTGTTGATGATTTGCTTCGGGTCCTTGTAAGACTATAAAGAAGTAAAGCCACCTGCGCGTCTGAGTAGGAATAATGCTTGTTTTCTGGAGAGTCGTTACTTGTTGCGTTGACTCTTGCCTAGCAGTAAAAACATATCATAAAGATAATTGGGATTATGAGCAAAATATTCATATCTCTGTTCATATCTCCTCACTTGGCCGATTTAGTACAGACTTGAAACTCTCCTCCGACGCGTCAAAACGCAAAGTGAAGTAAGTGAGCTAGTGGTAGACCCTTCCAAAACAGCACTCGGCATCAACACCAAGGAAACTCTTTTCAAAGCCTTGAAGTTTGCGTTACCAAACAATAAGAATGTCAGGGAGGAAAGTGATAGAACTCATCGGTTCAATCGACCGTTTCCCGGATGAGACTAAGAGTGATGCCTAGTTACAGGTTAGCCCTTTTATTTACAAAAATGTAGAGGTGTGATGTAGGAAGAGGAAAGACAACGAAAAAATAGCGTTTTATGGCAGACGAAAGAGGAGGAGGCTTTGGTATGGGTGGGATTATTTGTATGAAAAAAGTTTACCAGGTAGTAGATAACACAGGTAAGTTCAACCTTACCAGCAACGACGACCCTATATAACTTTAGGGTTGTAGGCAACATTGTATAACTACCGAAAAATCGGAAGGCATCACGTCAACGAATAATACTAACGGTTGCGTAATGCACAAAACATTACAATTGATCTGCTAGCAAATAAAGCAAATCTTCGAGATTTCTTATTGGTTCGTTAAGCTAGTATATGGGCAGTGAATGAAAAGCAGGGATTTACTTGTTAGTTTTAAGATAGAGCCGAGGTACATCAACATTCCTTTAAACGAAGCTGCATGGGCTCTAGAACAAACATTAGATCAACACTTAGTCTCGGATGGGGAGTTGATAATGATGGTGAAGAGCTGTAAATATTTAACTTTTAAGGGTAATATGTACGAAAAATAACGAATTTAAGCTCTTTAACCGTGGTTGCCCCCAGATTTAGCAAATAACTGCATGGCTCATCTGGCGATTCGCCCAATACTAGAAGCAAGACAGCAAAGAAAGGCCAGAAAACCTTATTTTAAGGTACTAAATTCACCAGTGAAATAGAAAAGGCTGATAAGTTACCTTTTCTAGATTTCCTAGTTAGTAAAGAGGACAACAACTTAGGCAATCAGCTGCTCCTTTATTTATGTCACGTAATTGTTGGGACTTTCATTTCGTATGAAAGTGCATGAAGAAGAGATTCGAAGGTTGATCTCACCAGAAGAGGGCGGTTAAATCCTGTTGTACTGTAGCCGTTTGGCTTTTATACAGCGCTCAGGTTGAGGCAGTCCACGAGACTTCCTTCCTCATTTCTGGTGAAAACAGGCTGAGCTTTCGTCCATCATTCGACAGACAGCATCAGAACTGGGAATCATTATTGTAAAATTCTCAATTTAACACTAAGACAAGAATACTATACGGCTCTATCTTACCTCTTATATAAACTCATGCCTAATTTGAGAAAAAGAGAATTTAGAAACAGATTGAAATTATCTTTATTATGGTCACCTTCTTTTGGATGGCGGTTTAGCACCTCTCTGCTTTCAATCTATCAATCAGGCATAAGTAGTTCATACTTAACTTTCTACCACCGTTCTTCACACTCAGCCTATTTCCTTATCTATTAATTTCAATAGCCTCTCTTATCTTTCTTTTGAGCACAGACGTACCACAATCAGCAAACCTAGTTTAAGACTATTCTCGTCATTATTCCTATATTTAGCCTATAATTGTGATGGGACCGGAAATTGAGTACTATCCTAGCATAGGACTTCTTTTGAACAATTTCTGTTTGAGCGTCCTATTAGAGCGAATCACTTTAACGTCCAGGAACGGTTACCGCTCACCTTCCTCTACTTCCATCATGAATCGAATTTTCTCATCAATCTGGTTTACAAACTTCAGAAAGTCCTCCAGTTTTTCTCTTCCATGTGACCAAAGTGGGAAATAATCATCCAGGTACCTCATGAGCAGTGTCGGTTGTAGCGGTGCCATCTTAAACTGCTCTTATATTTTCTTCATGTATAAGTTTGCCAAAAGTGGTTAAAC